ATGTAATGACCAATATCCAATCCACTGAGAAATATTTATCTATGTATGTATGTATGTATTGGGGATGATTGCATGGTAGTTCAACAGTTCTTTTTTGCTCTTCACTTCAACTTCTCTTCAGTTCAACTTATTAATGTAAAACTACTACTATGTTCTTAAGGGACTTAGCTGTATAACAGTATAAGTCCATGGTCAAAAACTTCCTGGTGCAGCTGTTACAGCTGACTGATACCCACCTGATGAAGACTGTCGGTCCTCTTTGTTCTTCTTATTTCTGTTCTCCCTAAGCTGCACAGATGCCAGGCTCTCTGCTGGGGGCATGGGGTAACCACGCCTACTGTACACTGCAGCCAAACTCTGCAAGGAACACTTGAGATCTTCCGTTGATTTTGACCCAGATCCCACACTTGACATTGTCCTCATGTTAAGGTCACTTGGTTCTGGGCTACGAATAGGGTCAAGTTCATCCAGGACTTCTTCTGATTTGGGACGGACTCTTGAGGAAGCAAGCCATGCTTTTCCACGGCCTGCAAATGAGACAGACCTCGTGAGCGAGGAAAAACTGCTGTGTTCAGCTTTTGTCTTTTTAACATTCAGTCTACTGTCAGACAGTGTTCGCACAAGTGGCATGGCAACCTTATATGGAGGTTTCTCCTCTGGAGCAACTGCCTTTTTCCTTGACATCCGAGGCAGAGAGTTGCAACGTCTTATAGAGGCATATAATGCATTATCATGTCTTCTCAACCTGAAACGCCGATCCACTGCACCAACAAATTCTGCAGTCTCAGCTTCAAGGAATATCCATGGGCTTTGGTGCAGATGACGATGAGTTTCAAAGTCAGTTGTCTTTGGTCTGTCACGAGCATTGTTCCTCAGTTTTTCATGATTCTTTGTTCTGAAGAGACTAAGTTCTTTGGCAATATGTCCTGGAATTCCCGTTAGAGTCTGTCTTCTCTTACGTTTCTGTTCCATAGGTTTGACATCAGGATCAAACTGTTCTACAGTTGCCTCTGTGTCAAGGCTCTCAAAGTCTATATGGTGCAGAGACTGCCTGAAAGCACACATGCGATTGAAGCTTGTCCCTGCAGTGTCAACTTCGACAATGCAGAGTGAAGGCTGTGACTTGCACATTCGCCTCAGCGCCTCTTCTGGAGTAGGGAGAGGGATTTCATCAGTGAGAGGCTGGTAGTCCAAAGCGTCCATAACTTCCATTGACTTGGGACGATTGTTGCGCAGCCGCAGTAACTTTCTGGTGACTTTGTGGAACTTGTGCTTAGGAGGCTAGAAACAGAGCAATACTACACTGGTTAACAAGTAGGGCAAAAAGTACAAGAAAGAATACATATACTGCTGTGCATAGCTAATAAACAAAATACTCTTCTGTTAGTTACTATTTACATTCTGTGTTAAAACTACATTCACTTTTTAACATTATGTACAGTTCTGAATTAAAACTACACTTTTAAGTAAGCACTGTGTGACAATATGTTCTTCAAGTCCTTTCAACTATCAAAACCAGAGTGTTACTTCTCTTGGGTAATACCTAACTAACATCAATTTCAAGAGAAGAAAATATAGAAACCACCCTAGTGAAGAAGTAGTCACTGTGTTGGAAAGTGTGTACCAGCCTTAAACCCTTTACCATTACAATATGACAGTAAATGAAACGTAGAGGTATAACAGGTTTTAAACCTGGTTGTGGTGCCAAAGCATTTGTTTGAGTGAATCAGGTGGAATAATGCAATGTACCAGGTGTGATAATTCAAAGTGGGGTGTGTGATAATTCAATGTGGTGGGTGTGATAACAAAGTGTGTTGGGTGTAATAAACTCCATGTGCTGGGTATGATAGCTCTACCTTAAGTTCCTCCAAGTCAATATGAGGATCTCTCTGAGGGTAGTCCTCCTTGGTGAACACAGGAGAGAGGAAGAACAATCCTCGTGCAGTCTTCCCATCTTGACGCACATGGTCCAGCTTACGAATGGTGATCTCGGGGTTGAGGTTAGCACTATCATATAAGTTACGAATGCATGCTGGCCTTGTATCCCGGACAAATAGGTCACAGTCGTAGCCATTGTGGAGATGAAAATGTTCGATTATTCCATTCACCGTTTTCAAATCACTTTCAGCTAGAAATAAAAAAGATTATCTTTTAATACTTGATATTATGCTTGGAGCTCAATAATTTGGTTGAAAAACAGTCAAGATTTCACTTTTACTTAATTATGAAATCATGTGAAATTTAAAAAATATAACCAAATAAAAAAATTCATAAATAACATTATATATCAAAATGTACTTCAAAGTGTGTTTGATCTCATGATTGCATTCATGACTTTATTGATCAGCTTCAATGCCTAAAACATTAAATCGAAAAGCTAACCATCATTGCTTGTGCCATAATCCAGTGTAATACTACCTATGAATAGCATTTAGGTAATTAAAACTGAATTACTGGAGGCCATTAGAAGTATGCTAATAATGCCATAATGTACCATTAAAAAAACAGAAATCTCAATAAAATGCACAAGCCAGAGTGGCAAAGGCAATGAATGTCAACACTTGACATTTTGAAAAACATGTGCCTAAGAAACAATATGGGAATCTGAATATCAAGAAGGTTTATTTAATGCACAGTCTAAGGCGTCAATTTTAGAATGCTTAAATTAAACAGACATGTTTAGCCTTTAACTCGCATTGGAATTAACATCTATTTCTCACACCCAGATCTTAATTAAAGTCTCTTGCATGTTAATCGTGACATGCATGACATGAACACTGCACATGCGTCTTCATTTTCCTTTAATGGATGTCAATTACCACACACGTTATTCTAAAACAGCCAATATCAGTGATAATGGGTGATATAATAGCTGCTCTTAGTGTCCAGATAATAAGAAATGCCCGCATGCAATATTCTAATACCAAGGCTGTGGATGCTTGACACACACTTAACACAGGGTTTAAAGATAATAAGAGATACACACAATCTTCTTAACAACCTCTGTCTGATACTGCTGCTAAGCAGACTAATGAGACTCATGAGAATAGTAGGGTCTGTTATCACGTATGATTATTTGACACATTAATTTTCTTTTGCTCAGTCAGGATTCATTTTCCTTGTGTAAAAGACACAAGAATATTGAAATTATTCTTAATTTAAGTCAGAAAATTAAATGCGATTTATTTAAATGAAAGAAAACAGTTATCCCCCATAATTAATATCACACATGGCTAAATGTAACCCATTTAAAATGTAGGGAAAAAAGATATATGTGACTCAGCAACCTCCAATTTCTAAATTCCTTCAATGTCAAGCTTCCTCTTTTTACTTGGCTCTGTAACACATTACAATACTTCAGTCTATCTATGAAGTTATTCCAATTCATTCATAAATCCCCAGACCAGACCAGACAGGGAGAGAAATGCTGACATAACCCCCTGGTTCCTATAGTAGAGTGTATGACTCAGGGCCCAGTAATTTAGGGCATCAAGATAACATTGATGGCACAAACTGAGTGGCAAATGTGACATAAAAAGGAATAAAATGTGAAGCTTAGAACATGGTGGAGAGCTTGCATGATGTGATACAATAAAGTGGAATAATAGAGAGATAGCACGGGCATGAGTGTTTGGTACTTGGGAGCACATGAATGAAAAGATCATTTTCTGCTCATATTTCAAAACAAGGAAAGAGATTATTTTCATTCTCAATTTTCACAGTCAGCAAAAAGAATATTTTATTGCTATCTTTTACAGCATGAATGCAAGACGTGTTCTTCTCACTTTTCAAAGCATGGACTTTTTTTCAATTCTCATTTCTTACATACCGGAAATTACCTTCCTCATTTGTCAAAGCAAGAAAAAAGCTATATTTACCTTCTGGTAAACAAACTATTTTTCTTGTCAGTTTGTACAGCAGTGATAAAGAGATGTGTTTTCAACTAAGTGTTCCATTATTAGAGTACTAGAATGTTACAAATTTTTCTCCTTTTTCAGCACATGAAACTATTTCACTAGCTGGAGGCATCTTTTTAATCACAGCACATGAAAAAAATGTCCCCCCTTACATATTAGTTGCGTTCCAACAACAGCATGATCTCACTTTAAATCTAGGTGGATAAAGTCATCAAAAAGAGAAAACTGTCACTAACTCTCAATGACAGCAGAAAGATGTCACCTTGTTCTTCACAGTATGGTGGGTGACAGCATATGGACATCCCTTTTAAGTACCCTGACAGGACAATGCTGCCCTTGTCAACCTGTATAGGACCTGGCCAGCAACCCTCTAATTTCACGTCAATGTTAACTTCTTAATAATCCACAAATTACAACATGATTCCCCAGGCTTCACATTTTCATTATAGTCTACTGTCTGTGACAAGCTTAAACATCAATCCCTTTGCAGAGTGGATTTAAAGCAATTTGTTCTGAGACATCAGAAGAGTGCCAGCCTGAAATATGGAGACAGACCAGTAAGGCTGGATCCACCCTAAAGGTCTTCTTAAACTGGTCAGAGATCTCTTGAGAGACACTCTAAATAAAGTTAAAAAGGTGATTTCAATTTTTGAATCACTTTTAACTGTCAGCTAGCCCGGATGGAAGGCTGTATCTACCCTTGGCAGGCTAGTACTTGATAAAACTTACCCGTGTTGGTCTTTTATATGCTACAACTGCAGATTTACTAAATCTCTTAAGGCTCTATATTTCAAGGAATCTGATTTTTTGTGTAAGATTTTGAGAAATTTGGCAAATCAAAACCTTGCTGCATATTTTGCCTCCTATGTCTTTTAGTTTTTTCTTCTAATCTCACTGCTCACTGTCTCACATCTTTCTCCTAAATTACTAATTTTACTATTACAGGCCCACTTCTCCCACTGTTTTTTCATTTCATACAAACTCTGTCAAACCCTGCAGGTATCCCATTAATGAGGACATACATAGAGTGAGAACTCTCTCCTTGATGGTGATATATACAGCAGAATTACCAGAGAAGTGGGACCCACCCCCATAATACACAGAACTAGTGTATACAGGAGGCTTGGCACATAAACACTGTAAGATATATTAAACACTCCACACTTAAACTAGCACCATAACCCTTTGAAAATTCTGAGCTGACACTTAATTCGCACCTAGGGCTTTTGAAAAGTTTGAAAAAGTTATGGTCCAACATATACTGTATATAATATCAGAAATAAACAAGCAATCACATCTAAGTTTTAATCCCACCATCAGACAGTTAGGTGTTGGGTTGGCTTTGAGAGTGTTGACGTAACAACTAAAATCGATTAGACCCAAAGCTTACCTCTCACCCTTAGGAGACTATGGAAAAGGGAATGGTGTTGACTCATTTTTCTTTTAACATCTCAACATTTTGTTTACTTTCTTGAGAGATGGCAAACAGAATTCTTCTATTTCTGATCAATATCTCTTCAATGCTGCTAATTAACAGGCATTCTCCTCATATTTACATGGACAATATTCTACAGTGGACTCTGGATAAAAGCGGACTTTTACTGCTTAAACTTAAGGACCATTCTGAAGTGAGATAATAATGCCCAGATAACAAAGGGAAAATCAATGTGGGGAAGACTTTTGTTGTATCACTTTTCCTTGCAAAAAACAGACATCTTTTAGAAAAGCATTATACCAAATTGGCTCAATTTANGATTTTCGAACTTGACCTGCATATTATGAATATTCATCAGTTCTGTAAGTTTCAAGCCAAAAGCAAAAACGGTTTTCCACTTATCGTGTTATCGGTAAAAGTGCACGACGGCGACGACGGCGACGACAGACGCAGATGATGGCTATATGTACAGACACATCTGTGTCTGTACATAAAAAAGCATATTGTCCGTTTTGATAAATTTCTACTCCAAATTGTCATAATTTCTAGAAAATACAACACTCAATCCTTTATGATAGGGTGTTTTAACCTCAAACTATCATATTTTCCTTTCAAACCATCCAATTTATGACTCATTGGCCTACTGATATAAATTAAAGATAATGATAGCATGGTGTTTTCATAAATCTCTACCTGAATAGAGGCAGTGTCAATTTTCATGCTTGACTTTATCAAGAAATCCGGCCTATTCTACTGTTATCTTCCTCATCAAAATTTCATATTTCAGGGATCAAGAAAACACAGACAAATTGCATGAACTCTCCAACCCAAAGGGCACATACTTCACCCCTGGTTCATAGTTCAGTTATTATATGCACATTATTTGAACTTGTTGTGCCCTTTATTTTACAGCAGTTTTCACAGCTTACTGATCATGATCAACTATGTGTACCTGCTCAACTATATCTTGCACTTTCTAAACCCTTGAACTAGGTGTTATTTCATTTTAATTCTCAACCTCGGTCTATGTCAACAGTTTCTTGCTAAAGAGTGGTCAACAAATTTTATTTAACAGCTGGTTGTGTAGTCTTAAGTAAATAATCAAGTGGAATTCTATAAAATATTTTAACCACTCTTCCAAATTTGCCTATGTTGCTCATATGTCTATCTGTCGCAAATAATTCATCACCAGCAACTTTATTACAAATTTTATGAACCAGATCATTTATTTCACCTGAACTATTCTATACAACAAATACAAAAAAGCACAAAAAATCTCCTTCAGGTGAAGATGATTTTTTTTATCCACACCAAACCTTACCCATTATCTCCTTACTATTGAGAAAGGGTAAAAAAATTGTGCACCTTTGGGCTAAGTCTCCCTGTAATTTAAGGTGCACACCTATAATCACTAAATTATGGTAATATTTACTATCATGCCTTACAAAAAAGAGGTTCTATTACCTAGGCTATATAACCATAGAAAAGTAACTTTGCTACAACTTGATCATATCAATGTCAACCACCCCCACCCCTCTCTCTCTTCTGAAGAATTTTCCATACCATAAATATTTAGACTTATCAGCCTAAATAAGCCTTTGCATTGATACTTCTTTAGTCTAAATTACACCATGAATTTTTAGTACAACAAAGTAACATAAAACAAATAGTGACAGACAAAGATAAATTGCATCACAACTTCATTTCTACATATTTAATGTAGCTGGTGGACATGTCTAAAATTATTTTTATTCATCTTTTCTTACAAAATACTGCCACATGTTCATAATAATAGGTGGGTTATCTAATAAAAATGACACATTTTACAACACATCAGTGAATGATTTCCATCCATCTATCTTGAAGCAGGTAACAGTTATTAACACCCCAGCTTCCTGGGTGGTTTTAAAGCTTCCCCTCCACACTATATGTTTTCAATTTCTTGCAGGTTTTCATATATTAATTTCACAGCAGCACATTTCTTTCATTTGATATGACATTTTAGACATATCTTTAAAACTACCAAGTGCACTGCAACAGTTGCAGACTGCCTCATAAATAATCTAGTTTTTTCTTTCT